TATGAAGTACAAATGTACTCTAATGCGTGTTCTCTTAACTCATTAATATTTTAAATTAAAAAGTGAGAAATCTATATAATAAAAGTAAAGCATGATTACTCAATTAAACTATAAAGATTTTGTTCGAAAACAAATTCTTTAAACAATACCAATTATCGCAATATATAATTGATAAAATTTTTATTCTTTGAAAATTTATAAAAATTCCAATAAGAGAATAACCTTCTTTATTGTGATAATTATGTTCCTTGACCTCCTATAAAGATCAAACACAATTTGACACACAAACAATGATTTTTTTTTCAACACAAAAATATTTTCAAGATTTCTTTAATCGAACCACACTTTTGTAATTAATACGATTAGTAAAAAAGTATAATAAATTTAATAAATTATTTTCAATATCTTATCATTAAAAGTTATTTAAAGTGTTTTAAATTTTAATAAAAAAATTTAATTATATTTTAATCTATAGTTTGATAATGATAATGTTTATATGGTTTGAAGCTTTTAAAAAATAATCAATTAAGTATCCATAAAATAATTATGTATATTAGTTATAAACTAGGTACATAGTATGTACCTTTCTAGGTATATTGAGTCTTTCAAACACAAAGGATTTTTGCTCTCTTATTTTTATTTCTATAAATTGCAAAATCATTTTATTTCAACACAAAAGTCTACTTATTTATCAAAGTTCTGAATAAAAAATTTTAATAATTAATGTCAATTATAATCTAATTTATGATATAACAATTTTATTTTTCAAAAACATTGAAACAACATTGAAAACCTCAAAATCACTAAAAATTTATTTTATAAAACAAAATTTATAATATAAAATTGAATTAGATTTGTATTTGATTGTGTTTTATAGTTATATAAACAAATAAACAACGAAATTAAATTATACATACACAGTAATTTTGAAATTAAATTTTAAAAAAAATTTAAAGTTTATTGGTTAATTAAAGTTATTTAATATAAAATACATTTTGCAAAAATTAGACGGAAATTGAAAACGTTCATCATTTCCTTTGGGTTTTTCATCGCGATTTAATCTTATTCATATAAATACATGCATTATACCTATACCTACCCAAATGTAACTATATATATCACACAAAGATCTTTTCATTTCCTTTCAAGAATTTGCAAGGAAATTTCAAAAAGTATAATGAATCTAATTTACTTAATTTTCACATTTATGATTAAAATGCATTTAATTATTTTAATAATTGTCCAACATTAAGTAAAGAGTTAATCTTATTCGAAAATTTAGGAGTGCATACATTCATACATAATTTTAAAATCGGCATTTAGAATTCAGTTGCTGAAGAAAAAAGCATTTTCAAAATATTCTAAGATTTAAAACTTAATTTGAGATTATATCTTATAATATGAATTATGATTTTGATTAATTTATTAATATAAGAATAAGTAGTAGGTAAATAGGTAGGGATGAATTGTCAAAGACATAAACGCAACAGTAATGTTTCATTTCCAATATTCTTTAAATTATTTCTGTAATAGTAAATTTTAAAACAAAGACGTCGTAATCCAAATTATCGTAAATCGGAGTCCTAATGTTAACTAAAAAAATATACTAAGTAAAACAATCTCATCTCAAAAACTTAAAACAAAAACAATAGTTGAATATGTATACACACATACGCATGAACTATTTAATTCATCAGTTAGCTACTTAGCGTTATAATAATTAACATATTGTTTTTTGTCTCTTAAAACACACTTTTTCTGAACCGCTTTGCAAAAATTTCAGTTTCACTTCTCTTTGTATGCGCATATGTATAATAAATATCAAAAAAATTCTCTTACAAGTGATTTTAGAAACTGTAAACAATCTCGATATTTTCAAAGACAATAAGCCGCAAAATTATTCAATTATTATTAATAAAAACTCCAAAAAAAACTAAACAGTTCTAAATTATTTGAAGTTCATAGGAAAGTGAGTAATATTTGTATATTATATTGTACATATGTATGTACATATATTAAAAAAATTTCAAAATTATTTCACAAAATATTGCGAAATTAACAAAAACAGAAATAGAAAAATATTTGTAAATAAAAAATATTTGTGTTTAGTCAACAAAACTCCTGCTCATAAATTTCATTTGATTTTCCATATTTACAAACATATGTACGTATATATTTCGAACTGTTCATAGTTACTACTGTTCAGATAATTTTAATATTGAATAAATTATTTTAAATGAAATTTAATAAAAACGCTACAATTTCATTAAAAAAAACCGGTTTTTTAAAGAGGTTAAATTTTTTGATCAACTCTTTTTTTTTCATAGACTATAAAAAATATCTCAAGGTTGCACACATTACCTTTTTTGACATTGATGGATGACCACTACACATTTTCGTTTTTGTGTTTTGTGTTAAATCAATAAAAATTAGAGAATCTAATACCCTAACCATCTGGTGAGTATTAAAAATGCGTTATTGAATTAATGGAATGTGCAAAAGAGATAAAGATAATTAAGAAAACCAATAGATGGAATAAAACTTGTTTTTAATAATCCAGTTTTTTTTTTTTTTTGTAACTGACCATCCTCTATAATTATTGCATAACTTTCTAAATATGTGTGTACGTAGCAACATGCTAGTTTAATATTGTTTTTCTTTTCTGTATTAAGATTTTACCGTTTTTGTATTTTTATAATATGTAATATTAATAATGGCATAGCAAAATATTCAAAATTGGCGAATTTTAAATTTTTTTTTAAACAATTTTGTAATTTATTCACTTTATTTTATTAATCATTTTATTTAAAGGAATTCAGTCTTATAATTTCCTTTTCAATAGGAAGTGAATGCTTTCACCAGGAAAAATTAAATTGAAACTGGCATTCTTTTGTAGCGCGAAAATGCGTCTTAACTTTTACTATTAAATTTTTATGTGACTGATATGAGATACCTACACATGTACAAATTATTTTTGAGCGAAAATAACGAAAACATGATTTGCCAAAAAACGACTGGTAACTCCTATGCTTACTTAATTTTTATCATTTTAGATATTTTTATAACATATGCAATTTTCTGTGGTTAAATTTTGTGAATATTTACCCTAAACTATTCTGTTTAATATTTAAAATTAAAATAGAGAATCAGACAGCTATTGCTAAGGCTTAAAGTAATAATATATATTTCAAAAATTAATAGATGAACTTAATAAAAGTCGTACTCAACTACAATTTGAGCTTTAGCGAATTTTGGTGGACTTTTAAAAAAAATTTTGTGATTTGTTTCAGTAAGTTCAATAAGTTTACAAAATGCATCAATACATTTATGTAATTTCGTATAATTTTATTAATTGACAAAAAATAAAAAAAAATTTAATATCTTCTGCATCAAACGAATTATCAGGCGAAACCAGAAGGACATCCTTTAAAATCTACATATTTTGTAAAAACAGTGTAGGCACAGGGTTTTAATTGTTATTAAAAAAAATTTATTCGAGTTCGTTTTGTATTCTCGCAGATATATATAGGAACACACATGTAAGTAAGTGTGTACATATATCATTTATTCATTAAAGCCGTTACAAATAAAACTGAATTGTGTCTATTATACAAACGCAGTACATATAGCCATGTATGTACGCCTTATAAACAAACAATTTTCCGATCTTAAAATTTTATTTTGTATAAAAATTTCTGATAAATTAGTTTTGAATGCATAGTACATACTTTTATTTAATATGTCATTCAAAAATTCCGGAAAAAGTGAAAAAATAACCGACATACTTTCTATTGTTTGCTTTGCGACAGTAAAAAATTTTTACTGTTATGATGACTCATAAAGGTTTAAACTTTGCATGACTTTAAAAGTTATACAAAAGAGCAAACACTAAAATAATTTACAACAGAAAAAAAAAAATATTACATACATATATGTAAATATGTATGTTTGTATAATTACATACATACTTATACACATATAGGTCCTAAAAAATACATTAAATTTGTAAGAAAGCGATTGATTTGTAGCGATTTAGACATTGATTATAATTTCATTATAAAAGTATTAAATTTGCTAAAAACTAGCTTTCGATAATTCACGATATGCACGAATTCCCACTTAATTCATAAAAATTTGTGGTATTCAAATTGCAACTTTACAAAGTTTTATGATCCAAATTGTAAACTGAAAAATTTTTGCAATCTTTAAAAATATACTTTGCTAGATCTTTAAGCATAGCAGCAATTTTTGAAAGAGAACTTTCTTCTTCTACTTTTTCGATAACAATTCATTTAAATTACTAAAAATATGAAAAACGGAATTCAAAAGGAAAAGAAAGGAAAAATGGAAAAAAAATTTCATCTCAAATTTTCATTTTTATTTCATCGTTTTTATTAAAATGAATAAGAATAAGAACGAAAATATAAAGAAAGGATAACTCCAATAGGAAAAGGAAAAGAAAACGTAGACCGTAAAATAAATGCTTTTTTCCTCCTTTTCAGACTTTTAACATAATACAAGAGAACAATAGAAGATTATAAAGTTTCATAATTATAAAAAATACGAAAATATGCCTTTTTCCTTTTAAATTTCATTATAAATATAAGAAATTCTAGAACTAAAATAATTGAAGATAAGATCCTTTATATCACAAAAGAATTTAAGAATTTTCTAAGAGTTTTTTTTAACTATAATTAGAGCTTAGTTTCAATTCGTTTAAATCTAAAAATATTTGAAATGCAATAAAAACAGTTGATTTGCAAATAGTTAAAGGCTAAACTTTTTCAACTCAAGCAAATTAAAAAATTAAATTCAAACAGGAAATTTTCGTATTTAACTTTATATTTCCAGAAAAATAAACAAACAAAAAATTTACATTATTGACAAATTAGAAACATAGACTTATTAAAAATTTTAATTTTGACAGATTAAAAAAATTTTAGTTTGTGTGTTTAGACCCTATATACAAAATTTTAACAAAAAATAAAATAAAAATAACCCTAGCAACAAGGTGGACAACCCGATAAAGGTGGACAAGAAATAAAAGGTGGTAAAGGATTACAACTTGGTAAAGAAGTGGGAAATGGCCCACAGGGTGTAGGATATGGACCACATGGTCCACCTAAAGTTGGTCCATATGGATTACTTCTAGTCAAATTATATGGTCCACAGGAACGAGTAGGACTAAATGGACCACATGGTATATAAGGGCCACAGGGTAAATCGGTTGTCGGACCACAAGGTGTAAGTGCTCTGCTAGATGAATACGGTCCGCAAACTGCATTTGTTCCAGATACTGGACTGCATGGACTACAAGGTGAATAAGGACCAAATGGTCCAGCTGGGTAACATTGCATTGGTCCACATGGATCACATTTACTTATTGGACATGGTGTACACGGTATGCTTGGTTTATATCTTGTTGGACCCGTTGGATAGCAACAATATTCTGGTGGTGGTGGTACATCTATTACTTGAGGCTTCGGTTGACACAATATCATTTGACATATTTCTCTTGGTTCACAAATTTTTCGTGGACAACAAACAACATATGGATCTGGTATCATCGAAGGATAATATACAATACGAGGTTCCTTAATCAATTGTGACACCCATGTTAATTTCGGTACCTTAATAACTTTAGTTGTTTCAACAACTTTTGGTATTGTTATTTGTTTGCAACGATTAACAACCATTGGTTCTGGTATAGTTTTATTAATAAATACAATGCGTTTTTTACACACTAAACGTGGTGGCTGTTGTATTGTTATACATTTGGGCCTTGGTGGTGGACATCTTGGAGCACATTGTGGTAAAGCATCTAATTCAGCACCAGAATAACATTGAGGCGAACGCTAAAAGATAAAAATTAAAATATTTTCAAAAAAAAAATTAGATATTTTTTAAAGAAAATTTACCTCATTGTAGGGGCCAGCACAACAGGGATCACATGGATCACAACACGGCATTCCACAGGGATCACACATTATGAAATAATGAAAACTTTCTTACTTTTACCTTTTCCTAAAGAAACTACTGAAAATTTTTAATTTTTCTGAAATTTTACACTAAAAATTTTAAATTTAATTCGCTAAGAATTTTTATTAGAATAAAATTTTTGTGGTAATTTTTGAGAAAACTTTTTTCGTTCTGAATTAAAAATGAAAAGGTAACTTAGTTTTTTAATTGGAATGAAAACTTGATGAAAATTTTTTTTTTGTATTTTGATACTTTAATTCAAACTTTTATAGTTTATATGTTTTGTTTAATAAACATGCGAAATGTTACTTTATTTAATATAGGAATCACGAATTTCTCCTAAAATTAATCATATCTTTTTAGATTTTTATACATTGCTGAACGGTACCATTGGTACTACTGCTTTATGAAACACAAGGTAACTTAATCTTAGGTCTTACACTAAATTTTTCAATGAGGTTTACAAGTGAAAACTTTTCGGTATTTTATAAAATCAAAACACCGAAATCAAATAATGGTTACTTCTATCATATTTTTCAAAGTTGTCAGTGAAATTATATAAGGTTGTCGTGGAATTTTTAGACTAAATCTTGATTAGTTTTAGAAATTACATTTCATAATGTTTTAATGATAAGTTTGGATATCAAAATAAAAATTTCTATATTTAATTCTAGTATTAGAAAGATGCTGTTCTTATAGTGTACCACTGACGTGATATGTAATGCTATAAATTACTATTTTAATCTCAAGTTTTTAAAAATATATACGAGTATGTACACACATAGCTCAAACAGTTTTGAAACCTATTATATTTTACCTTGCTTGTTAATTAATTTCAATATGAAATGTATAAAATAAACAACACAAATTTAATTTCAGAGTGAACTTACAATATTGTTCACAAATCATAAGATTATTCTCCTCCATATACATATTTATGTATATATGTATGTAAATTATGATAGATTCCTGTAGATCTTTTTCTTAAAATAATATTTATGCAATTGAGTACTTACATTCATATTTTATATTAAAAACAAAAAATTCTTTCATATATATTATAATATTAGAGTTCTTTTAAATGTAAATTATACTCTTACAACTTTTCGTTAAAAAATCATATTCCATTTTGAAATATTTATTACAGTTTTCTACTGGCATCTGATTTACGCAAAAGTAAAGTAAAAGAGATTTAAATCATGACAGTATCCATTTCAATCAAGATTTTCTATATTATAAAAAATTGTAACTTAAACTTTTGGCAAAGTTTTAAATTACAAAATATAAAATGATGGAAATTTAAGTTTACATCTTAATCTTCTGTAAGCTAAAGTAAAACTTTAAATATGTATAAACATTTTTTTCTCACTTTACTGTTGAAATATGTATGTATGTACACATTTACTGTTATAACACCCATATTTGTAGATCCCGACAAAATTTTAATTTGAAAATTTTTAATTTTTGTTGTGCCAGAACCCTATTTAAATTGGACGTGATCGGAGTACCGGTTCGGGTAGCTGCCATACAACTTCAAAATTTATTTGGCTATATCTCAGATACTATAAAAGTTGTGGTATTGTAATTTCACACAAACGAATATATTAGTAGGGCCGATGTGCTTGATAAAATTCGCTAAAATTTCTTGGCTCTTTCTGGTAGCTGCCATACAACTTCAATAGTAGTTTGGCACAACCAGTATTTTGAAAAACACATAGCAGTGAAATTTTGCATAAATTAATATGGTAATACGGCAAATTAAAGTCATAGTCTGCCCCATAGTTAGTTATGGCACATTAGTTATTCGCAAATAGGATAACGAATTCGTACGGGTATCACAGAGTTGACAAGGCCAACTCTATTTTTTTTCTCGTTTAATCTTCTGTAACATTTTCATTACAAAATCATTGCGGTCGGTTATGAGCTGATCACATCACATTTTTTTTATTATATGCCACAATTTTAATTTGATTTAATTATGAAAAATTTTACAGTCATTAAAATAGCCATTTATAATCATATTTAAATTGTTTATTTTTAATGTTTGAAATTTTGTGCACCTTGAAATTTTTAAAAATTTATATTAATTAAACTTAATTGTTTTAATTGTGAGAAAGCATAATATTTGCAATGAGTTTTTGTAAAAAATTATTATGACTTGTTAAGATGTTATAAATCAAATTATGAAGCTTTTATGTCAATTATCGGGTGATGCTAGTGTGACAATATCCTTGGTATAATTAAAGAATTTTTGAAAGTTATGCTTATAAACGTATTGACATATAGAAATGTACATAATGCAACAATATTACAATGAATGCAAAATATATTGATTTCATTTAATAAAATTAAAATTTAATTACTGTATATGTTTTTAGTTTAATAAGATGTAAATTAATGTAATAACTAATTTTGATGTTTGCAAATATTTGAAAAAAATACTATAGTTAATATAAACATGAATTTCCCACCACATTTAAAAATAAATTGAATATAGACTGAAAGAAATTTACTTGAGTAGCTCTATAAATAGCAATAAAATTTTTTAAAAATGCAATTATTTAAATTAACTATGCACATAATTTAAAATTTTTAATTTGAATTGCAAATTAAAGAGATATTTAAAGATTAACCACCATGAAATAACCTACTCATTCTCTGTTTGCTTCTTTTATTTTAAATATTGAAAAATAATTGAAAAAAATAATGTTAATATGCTAAAGAGAATAACCCCACTAGATTGTATAAATGCTAGATTCCAAAAAATAATTTTTATATTATGTCAGTCCATTGTGATGAAAATGTCATAAAAAATATTACTTATATCAGTAAATTTCCAAAATGGTCACATTTTTTTTTTAATTCATCTGCCGCGACAAATTTTTTATGGTCATTTACGCGTTCAATTAACAGATACCCTTTAAGATATTTATAATATGTATGAGTGTATAATACACACGTATATTTCGACAGAATGCAATATTATTAAGAATCATTTTAAGAGATGTGTTCGCGAAGTGCAAGTACTCTAAAAAAATTTATTTGATCGAATTCTGTATGACGTGTATTGCTTTAGTTTTATACATAATAATGACATTTTAAATTTCGGCTGGAAAATAAGATAAGATTGGTTCCTTACATTATTGTTGTGCTCTCACATATTTAGTCGGTTCTTTCCTTAATAAATTATTTGTTTCATATTTAATTGATTTCTTCAAGGTACAACTACGTTAATTACAATAAAATAAATAAAATTTGACTTTACTTTGTATGTCGATAAATTATTACTATATAATTTCATATAAAATTATTCTTATTCGTATTTATTAATTAAATCGTATTTATTAATTAAATCACTTGTGCTTAAAATGAATATGAAAATAATTTTATTTATAAAACATCAACTACTTAGATCACGTTTTACAACATTTTTTTTCCTACATACAATTTAAAATGAAAACCTGTTTAAAAATTTTTATTTAAAACTTTTATACGTCAAAAGTACTTAATTAATTGTAAATAATGTACTAGTTTAATTACAATTTTTCTTTGTCCACTTTTACTGCACTAAACATTATCTCAGTTCACATTAAAAAATAAAATTCAAGTTTAAATGCTAATTCTTGCTATTCTGGTGCTTAAAATTAAAAACTTGTAAAGATTCCACAACTTATCATGTTACATCGAATTTTCATCGCCATAAATTGTAATAATTTTATTTATTTGATACTCATACCATTTTATTAATGTGGATGAAATTTTTATAATGTCTAATTATATTTTATATCTACGATACAATTTTTAACACAATTCCAAGAATTAGATATGTATTTATTCCTTTAAAAATTTAAAATGTGGATAATTGAATTATAAACTAGTAAAATCCATTAAAAAAATTGCAATCATAAAATAAAATAGGAGACGAAACAAAATTTATTATCATTGAAAAAATTTAGACGAATAATATGAGAATAATTATGAAATTATGTTCATACGTTAGTTAAGCAGAGTAACAGCATCCAAATGTACATTATTTGATATAAATCATTAAACTGACTATCATTCCAAATATATAAAACAAAAACTAGTCGCGGGGATCTCAGCAAATTCTATTGATTTTATTTTAACCTGAACTTTTACCCCACTTGAATTTAATTTTAAGAAGAATTACTTTAAAATCACTTTAATAAATAGCATAAAATAGAAATCAAATCTTATAATAAAATTTTTAAATAATAACTTGTTTATTAGTTATAAAAAAATGTTCTAATGGAATTGCAAAAATTAATTTCGTAAACAAATATTTTTTAAATAAAACAGAACCAGATTTTATTCATTCTAAGTGTACTTTGTTCATATATTTACTAGATTCTGCCAAAAAAAAATTTAAGTTAAAATCACTTCCATCAATTTTTTCTCGACTAAAACGTAGGTTATTCCAGCAGAGGAAAAATAAAGGTCAATAAATTTGGAAATAACGGCAAAAGAAATGCCTATACCTGAGCTACAAATGTTTAATAAATGTTATTTCCCAAAAAAGTATTGAACGATATTTTTTTGCTACGAAAATGTCATTGATAACGCACCTTCAATAAAAATCTTGAAAATTTAATTTGTGATTTTCAATTAGTGTTGATTTTATTTAAAATTCCTACATAAGTGTAATTGGAAACATTCAAAAGTGACTTGTAAAATTCTTCAAAAATTCTAACAAATTATGTAATAATTCATACGTAAATGAAAATAATAATGGTGATTGAAAATATTGAAAAATATACTGAGTAAGCATGTCTTGCTCTTGATGTTAGATTTCAAACAAAGTGTACAATAATGACACAAAAATTCATGATTTAATAAATTATCCACGAACCTGCCTTTTTCGATCTGTTTTAAGCAACTTGTTGTATTTCATTGAGTCATGAAAGATGAGCAAATTTAGCAATTCTTTCTCATTCTTATTTTTAATCGAAGGCTTTTACAAGCCCATATTAAATAAAAGGTATACAGC